TAGAAAGGTGATTCCCAAAGCCCACGGGGCACATTGCCCATGACCTGCGGCATTTCTGCCCAGTGATCTTTCCAGATGATTCGAAGACGTGTGACACATTGCCAGTCTTTCCTGGGAAGTGGGTGAGAACTTTCGAACACGTGAACCTTTTCCAGTCAGAATTGCTCAGGGCTTTTCAAAGTTCCATTTTGGAAAGGAGGGATAGTTATTTCAGAGAGATTGTGGTCTAGTGGTTAGACCTTGTGACTGGGAGTCATGGCTGGAGAGCTCAGATTCTTTTCCAAGGTCTTCTCCCCAAACTGGAGTCTGCCAGTGACGATTCAATCCAAAATGTCACTTTTGGGCCACTGAAAAATCGCGTTTGGCTGGCTGGATTTTAGGCCCAGTGAAGGAATGTATCCTGTCTGACACGAAATCTGGTCTTCATACATTCATTCCATAAGCCATGGGTGGCAAACTGTGGCCCAGGGCCAAAGCTGTCCTGCTACCTCTTTTTGTATGGCCTTTGAGCTAAAAATGGTTTTTATTATTTTTAAACGGTTGGAAAAAAAAAAAAAAACAAGAGAAGAGTACTATTTCGTGACAGGAAAGTCCTATGGAATCTACTTATCAGTATGTATAAATAAAGTTTTATTGGAACATGGCCATGATATAGTAGGAACCAGGTATTGCCCACGACTGCTTCTGTGTTGCCGCGGCTGAGCTGTTAGGACCAAAACCAGATGGGCTGCAGAGTCAAAGATATGTATGTCTTCTGGCCCTTGACAGAAAACGTTTGCCAGCCCCGTCCTGAACAAGTAAGGGGACGGACTCCGCTTGCCTGTCTGTCTGTGAGACGGACTGACTGACAGGAAGTGCTGCAAAGCTGCTTTGGTATTTTATCAGCCATGTGGGGTTTCCTGGGAACCTTCTTATCAGCATCATTTTTGGCCTTTGAGTTGCCCTATTTGTTTAGGAGACTAACTTTTGTACGGAGGCCCCAGCTGCCCTCAGATAGATGCAGGATCTTGGAGCCGCCCCTCCTCGGACTGAATGAAGCTAGACCCACGGTAATGGGGGGCCTTTGGTGGCAGCGGGTTCCCTCAGGCCCCTCTACCTACATCCTGGGGGGGATCCTCTGATTCAGAAGATCCCTCCTCCTTTGCCTTTCCTTGTCCTTTTAATTTTTTTATTGGAGGAGGAGGGGGAGGAGACGTTTGAGTTGCATACCTTTTTTTCTTTTTTCGCTGACAATTTAACAGGCATTTTAAAGAGCCTTGATTCCGCTCAGACTGTGGGTTTTGTATATATTTCAAGACTTCGTCCACAGGTCTGAAGCTTAACTTAAGCTCCCTGAGACATATCATAAAATATGATTTGGGGAAAAACCCTAATGGGCCATGAGCAGAACATTAGTATTAAACAAAGGATGAAACACTTAAGCCAAGATGGCCTTATATATTTATTATTATTTTTTTTGCAAAATGCAAGTTGAGCAGGACTCCATTTCAACAGTTTTCAATGCAGGAATTCCCACGGCCCCGTTTGATTGCAGTTTGCTGAAAAGTTTAATGTTTTTGTAGGCAATTCATAATTTCCACGTTGAGCGGCCTGAAAGGAAGGGAGCTGGAGTGCAGTGTTGTTTTTATAGTGGGATGGTGGGAACTTTTTTTTTTCCTTCCCCAAAAGGATATAAAACCGAAGTTGGACCAGGGGGAAAATGTGGCGTGGCGTTCCAGCCCTTTTCGTAAATCTGAGATGCCCCCTCCTTCGGGTCTTCCTTTAGGACCCAACAGAATAGAATTTCCCACTGCTTAGTGTCTCCAGGAAGGAAAAGATTTTCCTCTAGGCTCTAATCGTACCTAATTTCCTTTTTCTTCCCTTTATTTATTTATTTTCCTTATTAATAAGGACCAATTGTAGAAGATGAAGGAACCTGGGAAACCCATCACTTTTGGAGGAGGTTAATAATTTCCTTTAAAAAAATTCTGACATAACACTTATTTCCCCACAAGGAACCTCGTCAGCCTGAATGCCAGTTATTTCCAAGGGACGGGCACAGATTTGCGGGGGCCCAGCCTTTCTGTGGGATCAAGTTGCACTGGGAGGGAGAGGTTGAGGCTGTCACCGTGGGGTCCTTGGAAGCCAGCAGGACTGGGGCTGTCTTCCTCCACCATCTGGATTTGGTTAGCTCTCTCTGGGCAGTGGGGCCGAGTCTCATTTCCTCCAACCAGTAATGTTATATAGGCAGTGATCCTGGGCTGCCCTAACATAATTGAAAATTATGTGTATTGTAGGCTCGGAGCGCTGAAATGTAGGCTCATAAAAATAGTGGTGCAGGTAGCCTGCGGAGATTGGATATGGCACACAATGAAGCTTTTATGTAAAATAAGAATTATAAGACTCCGCGTTAATATTGCATTATGGGTATGACAGTTCTCTGGTGGGGTCCTCAGGGCAGGTCTGTCACCTTAAACAAAGCCTAAATTTCCGAATTCTGTGGAGCAGGGATTTGGATGCGATCAAATCTGTTTTGCAGATGGCCAAAGATGGGAACCTGGCTGTTCACCTAACCCTGCCCACTGAGGGTAGCATGAGGCGTCGGTGTGTGGCACTCAGCTGGGTGTTTTTCCTCACAGGATTTTATGAGAGGAGAGATGAGTATTGGCAGGTGTCCATTTTGGTTGGCCTCAAGGAAATGATGCTATTGAGTGGTTCTGACCAATGAGGCTCATATATTTATGTGGGAGGTGAGAATGGGAAGCATTCAGGGCGAGGTGGGGCGGAATATGTTCCTGTGGCCACTGGTTTGGGTTACAGGCTGAGGAGACCACAGAAACATTTATTACGTTTATTGAGTGGCTCTCAACTTGGGATGCTACTGTTCCCAAAGAAGATACTTGGAAATGACTTGTTTATAAGGGTGACTGAGGGGGGGGAGTGGGTTTCCTGCTCGTATATACTGTCTGAGAGTCTAGAATCCGTAAGTGCTGGGGCAGCCCTGACCTCATCCCCATCCCAGGTAGGACATCCCCATCAGCTGACTGATGAAAAGCTAGAGGTCCATGGAAGCAGAGGGACTTGATGCAGGGTCATGTGGTGAGTCACCAGAACCAGTAACCAGGTTCCTTCACACAAGAGCCTTCTGGGTAACAGCTCTGAGGTTGTAGAAGTGCTCTTACCTTGTACAGATCTAGGTTGGGAAAATGGCTGTGCACCATGGTAGGTAGCTCGTGGGCCAGGGTCTTCTAGTTTTAGGTGTAACTGTGTTTGGTTTTAATTCGCTGGGTAGTTGTATCTTTAAGGAAGCTCTGAGAAAGCTTGTGTGTGGCTTTTGCCCTTCTATTTCACATGGGATTTGAGCCAACCCTTCCTTCTTTCTGGACTGCCCTTGGCTATCCTTTGTCTTTCTGTTGAAATCTTTCTGACTTAACAAGACCTACTCGGTGCAGCCTTCCCAGTATCTTTTCTCAGAAATCCCATCTTCTTTCTTGGCATTCCCGAGGCACGATTCTGAGTCTGCCATTTCTACTACATTCTATCTAGATTGAATCTGAGTGTGAGTTGGTTCCCTCACACGGGCATAAGCTCCCTGAGGGCAGACATCTTTCTTAATCCTTCACAAGAAGGCTATGTACAAAGAGTTTAATTAATATTCATTGAGTAAAATTCCCTGTATAATTTATATGAAAACTAGCCATTTAATTTGCTTTGGGACCTCTGAAAAGATAAGATGGCCTCTTATATTCCCTCCAAGCATTAACTGGTGCCTTACACTGTGGGCCTTCAGACATACAAAGGCTGGTGATGTCCTTGTTAAAGTCTAAGCATTGTGTCCTCAGTTTTGTTTAGTTTTCTGAAGTTTTCCTGTGTAAAATTGGTGTGATGTCACCCATAAAGTGAAATGCCTTGGTGTTGCTTATACGTGTGCTAAGTATCTCTGTGACTAGGCAAGCCACCTCTCCTCACTTTTCCTGGTTTGTATAGTAGGGAGTTGGGTCAGTTGATTGTTCAAGTCCTTCTGAAAGCTGACGTATCACTTGTGACAGAAGTAACTTCCTTTTCCTTGTGCCATGTATTTTCCACCTCAGAGAAGAGCGGTGATAGATGTCGTTGGCTTATACCTTTAACTTAATTTTTGTGGTAAATTTGTGCATATTTAAGAATTTTCTCAGGCCTTTTTGAGATGAATGTATAAATTGCACTATGTCCTATTTGTACATTTTTTCCTGAGAAATATTTTTTTTCCAAAGATTGATTTATTTATTTGAGAGACAGCATGAGCGAGCAGGGGAGGGGCAGGGGAAGAGAGAGGATCTCAAGTAGGCTCCCCGCTGAGTGTGGAGCCCAGCGTGGGGCTTGATCTCAAGACCCTGAGATCATGACCTGAGCCAAAACCAAACATTGGACACTTAATGGACTAAGCCACCCAGGTGCCCTGGGAAGTAGTTTTGTTTTATAAGCTTTTGGGTTGGATGAGGAATTCCATCCTCATCTACTGGGGAAGTTTCTACTAAAGGACAGTCACATGTGTATGTATGTACACTCAACTTGAAGTATAGGATGATGGCATTTTAGAAGTGAAGGTCACTCAAAGAGCAGATCTGGAATTGGTGGTCTCCTAGACACCTCTGGCTTGAGACTCCGGTTTGCTTTCTTCCTTTGAAAGGCCTCTGTTCCCTCCCTTCTTGTCTCTCCCGCATCTCTATTGTTTCCGTCTACACGAGGCGGGATTAATGAAACTCTCTAGTTGCTGATAGTATTGATGTTCTAGAAACACACCTGTTGAACATGAGCTCTAATCTAAGGAAGAACCTGTTGGTGTGGCATGACTTTTCTGTTGATGTTGTTGTTATTTGCATGCTTTTTTTTTTTTTAAGTTTATTCAGTGTTGTTATTTGCATATCCTTATAAGTTACTCATCTGTGTATCAGGCATCCCAGAAGTTATGTCTTGGGATAGTGGTTTTGCGTTTCTTTTCTAAACTCATTTGCCACATTCATTTTGTTTCCTTCCTCCAGTATCTCCAGATGAAATGGCCACTGCTTGATGTCCAGGCGGGGACCCTCCAGAGCAGACAAGCCCTCAAGGATGCCCGCTCTCCGTCGCCGGCACACATTGTCGTAAGTGACCTTATAAAGGCGTTTGCTTCCTTTACTGGGGGGAGATGAAGAAAATATTCTTTTGTTGATAACGGGCATTGTTTATCCATTTTTCTCTCTTTAAAAAAATATATTTTTGGAATAGTCTTGGATATGGCTTATATCTAGAAGATATTTGTTTTCTGGTATTGGATCTTAGTGATTGTTACGCACCCGGAAATTTTCCAGGTCTTCCCACCACTCCTTTCTCCTGGTGTTGGGTTAGTCTAGCCTTGTGGTCTCCAGTTAATGGGACACTATCACCATGGTTTGGGGGAGACTGGAGATGGTGCCAAAGCAATTTAAAAAAAAAAACAACCTCAGATCCTTTTCTGAAAAACTCATTTAGCGGAGGTGAATTGCAGAAGAGGGAATTAGAAAATTGAAAAGGGAAGCGCTGGATTTGAGACTTTCCAACCCCCCCCCCCCCCAACCAAATTTATGTTAATTGTTGGAAAGTAACATTCTATGTTAATATCAGCAAAATTTTATCTGGACTGATTGATTGTAAACGGAGAGAAGAAATGAATTTGGAAAGGCTTAAGTTAAACTTAATTTGTACGTCCATGGCTTTGAGAACCTATGGGTTTAACAAAGGAAACATTTGTTTTTACTAGTGAGAGACTACAACATAGACTATGTGTCTACATATATTTTTAATGTACATTTGGATTTTGTAGGCTCTGAAAGTGGAATTTATAAATTAACCTCTTGAGAAGATGGTTCAGTATTATTAGAATATTCTCTTCCACATGTTTATATCATGAGCTGGACTTCATACTTTTGAAATAATTAATGGGAGACACATTTTTATAACGAATGTATGACAGGTAGAATTATGCAAAGGATGAAATAATTCATGTATTTTTTATTTAAGTACCACAAAATGTTACCCATTAATACATTTTGCCTCGATGTTACTTTAATTTCTAAAAATGGCAAAATGATTTTCTTAAGTAGAAAAATCTTAAGACGCGTTGTGTCAGATTTCAGGCTCACTGCCTCCTTATTTTGTAGCTTGGTGTAATTGAGTATATATTATTTAATGAATTATGCCTCTGTTATATGAATATGAAATATACGTGTGTGTGTGTATATTACAAGGTGATTTATTTCCGTTAAACCACATCTTGAGTCATCGTGTGTGAAAATGTTCTACAAATTCTTATGTTATAAATGAGGCACAGAGCAAGGTTGACATTTTCCCAGAAGCTTCCTCCTTCCCCCAAGCCTGTAATAACACGGATGCTCATGATGACCCACACTCCTCCAATGTCAAGATTTCAGGGCTGGAAGCGACCTTAGATCATCCCGCCCCCACCTGCTCTCAGAAAAGGAAACAGGCCCAGAGATGCCCTGAGTGAATTGCCCAACGTCACACGCTGAGTTAGTGGCCAGAGCGAGGATGGGACCCAGTTCTCGGCTCCTCTCCCGGGGCCTCGTAGCTTGTTCTTTCCTAAGGGGGTAGAAAGTCACTTCTCTGTGACGGATTCTGTTCTGCGAACTATAAATGGGGTCATGATCAGGGGCAGCGTCCCAGATGACGGGATATTGTCGATTTGGGTTTCTGATGCAGGTTTCTCGGAGAAACGTGAATGCCATATAAAAACCATTTTAGTCATATACAAAGATTTTTTAAAAAGTGCGAGAGTTACCGTGTCCTGGAGGGTAAAACAAGGAAGCATGTCTTCTTCACTTTTCCTGCCTCCCTGCCTTTCCCATTGTGTGTCCAGGCTTTGAAATTTATTTCTCTGCTTTTGGAAATGCTTGGCAGCGCTGCCACATTTTTTTTTTTTTTTTTTAAGCTACAGAGAAAGGATGTTATCTTTAAAATCTCTTGGAGGCTTTTTTTTCTCTTTGGAGTGGAGAGAAGGTGCCAATCTTAGAAGTGGTTCAGAGTGGACATAGCCCCTTGTGGGGGTGGACAGAGGTCGCGGATGGCTCTGGTCGCCCAAGGGTGAGGGTGAGGCTTATCCGCCTCGAGAGCCCCCCCAGATAGCCCACAGGACCTGTTGTCCCAGTGTAGACCCTAAGTACTTATTTTCATGTTTAGAAATGAACAATCTGAGGAGATGGAAAGACGTTTTCTCCAGAGCCAGTGTGGATTTTGGCCAGGGCGGCTCGAGGGGACTCAGGTTCCTTCATCCTCTGCTGTCTTAGGAGGCGTTTTTTCCACATCCGCCACTCCGAGCCACACTTCAGATGGAGACCTTTGTCCCAAGGAGCCACAACTGGCAACTGCAACTTCTTTCTGCTGTGCTCCTGGGGGCCTGGGGAATGGCCATTGCATAAGAGTTTCTAGGCTGTGGAGGAGGGCGGGCTCTGGGAGCGGGGCAGAGCCATCAGCTAGGTTAAAAGGAGACCAAATTTGTGAAGTACTTACTGCTGTGGCAACTGAATGGTGTCTTCCGTGACATGGATTAGCCCCGTAATTGTGCAGTTCTGCAGTCTTCCCCTGACACTAAGGGGTGAGGAGGTGGTACTGGAGGGGGCGGGGTTGGTAGAGGGAGATGAGCAGGTCAGGCTGGAGAAAGAAAGGCTGTGTTTGCTGACCTCTCACCCATCTAGGGGTCCCATACAGTTTTGGGAATAGAGGAGTCCTACACCTTGGGACTACGAATGGATAATCCCCTTTTCACTGGGCATAAGGCAACGCGTCAGCTAAAATCAATTTGGCAGGCACAGCATGTCTGTATTTATAAAGGGCCCATTCTGGACGATGGCTGATGGATCACTTGGGTCTGTGTATAGCTGAGCCTTGGCCCATAGTGCCTGGGTTGTGTCCGGCTCTGCTGGTGGATGGCTAGCTCTCCTTCACACCCTGGGCTCTTCCGCTCATTTCGTTTTTCATTCTCTTAAAGAAAACGTTGTCCCATCACGTCGTTTCATCAGACATGTTTCAAAATAATTGTCTAAGGATTGCTTCCTAGTTTCTCCGAAATTTGAGCTTGTTGTAATTTCTGGGCCAAGTTATTTCATAATGATTTCTAATGTTTTCTTTTGAAATTAGAGAAGTGTTCCGTGTTTGTTAATAATCATTAGAGACTATGACTACCATCAGTTCCTAAGAAAATAACTTTCTCTAGTACCCATATGGGGCAGAATTTTCACATGGGGATTTAAACTAAAGATCTTTGTCAGAATATTTTAACCTAGATTTTTTTTTCATGTGGTACATGGGTTACCACATTATAAAAAAGTAGATGTGTAGAATAAATATTTTTAACAAATAGAGTTTAATTGATCAAATAATATTTAAAGTAAGAAACGAGCCCCACAAATTTTAGTCACTGTAACGGATACGGCATCTTCTTTATTAGAAGGCAGCGGTTCCTAGTCTGTGTTCAGAAGAGAGAGGAAATTATCCCCCAGGATGATGTCTTGAATTTTTTTTTTTTTTAACCAGCCACAAAAATAAGAATTTAGACAACAGATCCATCTCTCCCTCCATTTCCTTTACTTTCTCTCTCCTTCTACTTCCCTCCCCACACCCCTGAGAAATTCAGGTTCTAGGATCCTCTCCCCTCCAGGCCCATTTTCTGAGTCACATAACTAGCTCCTATTTCATTCTCTGTGGTGTTTTAAGTTTATATTTCTTTGTGTCCTGTCCCATCCCCCCCAACCCCTGCTGTGAGGGCCAAGCAGTCTGGTTGTGCTAAGTGGTGGTGCTTGAGTCTTGGTGCACTTGCCTCCAGCAGTCCATAAGCTGTGGGGTTAGGAGCTACCCTCCCCACCAACACCACCTCCAGTATCTTTGCTATACAAAGACTTTCATTTTATTTCCTTTGTACCCAGCAAAAAAAGATTCTGTACCAAAAATGGTGGTATTTTTGTGTAGTCTATATCTTACAAGATGGCAAAAAGCTTCAAAAGTTCCTGCCATTTTATCTTGGGGGCTTCTTTTTGAAGTGGATGTGGAATTTTACCTTGGGGTGAATTTCTAGTTGTTCCTGGTTTTATGTGTTTTGTTGTGTAATGAGCTTTGAGGTATGGGATAAGAAAGCAATCTGTACCCCGAGGAGCAAGGCCTGCCAGACTGCGGTGGTGCACTTTTTCGTCGTCGTCGTTGTTGTTGTTATTGCTTAAATGCTGGAAGAGGGCAGAAAACTTAGGAAATACAGCGTGATGGGAGAGCTGCGGACAGGGTCTCTGCTGGCCTGCGTTGAGCATTTTCAAGTAAGTTCAGAGGACATGGTGAGACTTTTGCTTTTTGTGTCTGAAGAGTTTGTGGGGAAGGAGCACCTATTCATAGTCAGTAAGAAAAACTACTTTGAGAGCATCTGTTGGTTATTCAGTACTTGTGGATGTCTCCATGGATTCTGTGGCCTGGGCTGTACTCTCATCTGTTCCTCGAAGCGCTTGTTGGCTGTTGTGCTATGTGCTGGGAGGTTCTGTGCTGGATGCTGAGGCCCAGCAAAACCATCATAGCCCCCACCTGTGCCAGGTTCTGGTGGGAGTAGAGGTCCTGTGATGGTGTGACAGGGACACGAGATTTCCATTGAGACGTTGGTGGGATTACAGGCTGGGACAATCGCCTGAGGAATTGATATTTAAAATGAGATGTTCAAGGATCAATTAGAGTTAGCCAGATAAAGGGATGAGAGAAGGAACGGGTGGGAGATGGGAGAACATTCCAGGCAGAAGGAAAACCATGTATGAAGTTCCTAAAAGGAAAAAGACCTCGGCTGTGGGAGAAGAGGAAATCCAGCTACAATGTCTACACGTCTTGAGGGATGAGGGAGAATGGTCTGGGGTAGGATATGGTAAGAATTTGGTGTTTGTGATTCTAACCACCCGGGGTAGTCCGTGAGTGGTTTGGCTTGTGTTAAACTGCTGGCTGCGGGGATAATGGTGAGGTGCACACATTTGGAGGGAACAGCGGCAGAATTTGCCTGTGGGTCACATGGTGGCATTGAGGGAGAAGGAAGAGTCAAAAGTAGGTGGGTGGGGATGCTGCTCAGTGACTGGGGCAAGTTGGGGTG